CCAAAAACTCACAATCAATTATTTCTTTCCGAGCAAGTAAAGGAGCTTTTAAATGTTGCAAAATAAATGTCTAAACTTTGTGTACTTTGTTCTGATTCTTTAATTTTAAATTTACGTAACCTAGAACTTTTAATTTATTATCTCCCGGACCATTAACTGACAAATTGGTTTTCTGAACAGAAGGTATGTTTTTTGGAACCATACAAAAGGTAATACATGTAATGTCAGACCCTGTATCCATTAAAAAATTTAATTCCCTCCCCATGAAATTGACATCTTTAAAGCTCACCTCAAAATTTTGCGTTTGTTTCCCTTCTCGATTGCAGTCTACGAAGCTAATGTTAGTGACCTCTTTGTCTTCGTCGTTGTTTACTTAAATTCGTCGCACGGTGTTTCCTTTCTTGCTCCTACAACTCGTTCCCAATGTCCATGTTTCCCGCAGCTGCGACATGCGGCATTTCTGGCTGTACTGAGTTCCCTTTGATGTTTGTTGAGACCACACCATCCACAGCGTTCGCCGCTCCGGGACTATGGCAACCTCTGTGCTGCCGATATATTGTTTACCGACCGGACTTCCTCTTCTTCTGCCATACTATGCGTCTGCAAAACCCCGTTCTGCTTAACCAGCAGATCCGCCTGTCTCGCCTTCTGAAGCGCTTGTTCCGACCACTCATTAAGACCACTCATTATATGTGATCGTTCGCCTACTTTTTCGCGTGCTCACATCGCTAGGCATGCCTATTGGTGAATTTACCTTCAGTGAGTTAGAAGAAACAGATTCGGAACATAAAACTGCCAAGGCGACAGGTATAGACACTTTTCATCCAAAAATGATAAAAGTTTCCTATCCATATATCCGCACTCATCTACTTCAGCTTTATAATCTGTGCCTAAAGCAGAGTACATTCCCGGATGTTTGGAAAATAGCAAAAGAGCCTTGCTGCGAAAGAAAGCTAATAACCCACTGACCTACCCGAAGGTGTACAGGCCCATTTGCATCCTGCCCGTCATTGGTAAGATTCTAGACAAACTAGCTATGAAGAATGAACAAGCACACATCATGGCCACGGGAGATTTCTTGCCTATGCAGGCCAGCTTTAGACCCAAGCACTCCGGTGAATACCCTTCCTGCACATCCTGAGAGCTGGATCAAATGCTAAAATAACAATTGTGATATTTGTCGACATTAAAGGCGCTTTTGACAACTCGTGGTGACCGTTTCTATGGAAGGAACTGATTCATTACTGGTAGATATCCGCAGATTTGCATAGTTTTGTCGCCAGGCGACTTTGCTGCAGAGCCACCCTTCTCGCGTCCAAGCGCCTGGGCGGGCCAGCGGCCGGTGAGGTCAGCGCGGTGTGCCATCCCTTAGCGAAGGCGCAGTGACACACAGGCATACTGACGCACACGCTGAGCGCCTCTCCGGCGTGAACTCTGTACTGTAAGGGATGACCAAACTCACGCCGGGGATGGCAGCAACTCCAAGTGTATACCGTGCGTCTCCGTCACACTAAGGTTGACTCAGGCCACCCCTGGCTCCCGGGCGGGTGTAGAATCTGCGCCTTCGGGGCTAAAAGGGCAGTGGTGTACGAGTACAAGTACGAGTGTAGTGGTGTACGAGTACAAGTACGAGTGTAGTGGTGTACGAGTACAAGTACGAGTGTAGGGGTGTACAGCCGTGTTTGGGGAGCAGTCGTCGAGGGAGCTCATCGTCGGCAGCGGCCGGTGTCGGGAAGAGCAGCGGGACGGTGTGGATCGCACAGTGGTGAAGTACTACGCAGAATTCCTGAGCGCGGCCTACGGGCCAGTTGGCCGGGCGGACTGCTAGCAACGGACCCACTGCGTTGGACCCCCCGACGGCGGCCTTCACGGCCATTGGCTGTCTGCACCAGGGAGCTTCGCGGACGGAGGCGTCGGAGCCGACGGACGCGGGGGCACGTGTGGCACGACCAGGAGCAGGGACCACTATGCAAGCTATATCAATAAACACGTGTTATATCAGAGCTACGTGTAATACATGATCCCCTTATGTCCCGTCGCGACAGTTTCTAACAGAGCTTCTTCCACAACAGATGTTCTATTATGTAGGAAGCAGGTTTTAAAATTAGCCAGCAGTTGTCAAAGGGTTGTCCGCAGGGGTTCAAAAGTGGGCCAGTGTTTTTGAATGTGATTATGGACTTGCCGCTTCACAGCCTTGCGACAACTAATTTAGAAGCCGTGGCATATGCACATCATGCCTTTATTATTAAGAGCAGATCGCTTGAATATGTTGAAGAGAATGCTCCTGAAGCATTAAACATCTTTGGCTAACTGGTGTGATATCTGCGGAGAAGACCATCCTCAACAGATCAACAGATTTAGCACACAGACAGTCGTTCAAGGATTATGAACCCCCATTATAAATTTCAAAGGTGAGAAAATTGAAATGTTAAACAATTATATATAGAAATTACTTTGAACTTGCAATTAAAATTTAACGTACACGTGAACTTGGAATATAAAAAAACATTTTTTTTATTTTTGAAGCTAAGGCATATTGCAGGAAGGGAAGGAACAATTGACAAAATGGCTCTTCAAATTATTTACAGTGGAGCATTTATACGCATAATAACTTACTGCGCATCCGCGTGGATGATGGAAGTGCATAAAACTAATTCGGTGCGAGTTGGAGGAAACATAAATTGAACTAGTGCTGCGAATTCAAACAGTCAGGTCGACACTCACTGCGCTTCTCTCGGTATAGTGAACGTTCAAAGATAACGCGAATAATAGAAGTGAAGTCAATAATAGAAATACACACTGATAATGTTTAAGATAAAAATTGGCATAGTAATGACATTTTTCTTTACAATGCGAGATGGAGAGAAGTGATAAAGCGCAAAAGGATATATCCCGGCTATAAATCTGTTCTGGAAAATAATACATCACGTTGAAGTTCACGGGCCATGGTACGTTAAGGAGATTATAAAGGATAATTGTACTAATTCCTGATGCGTGGACACTTGATACGGATGAAACTTAAGTAACTTCAGTATTCGCGAAGCACTAATACGAGGAATTCCTAATTGTTGCAATATTTCTCGGACACTCGGATGAAGATTATGAGCCTCAGTGGCTGATACTACTATTTGATTACTTTCTCCACAGACAGTAGCTGCACGCATTCTTTTCTTCGGTTGCACACTTCATTCAGTTCAAAAATTGTTTAACTCCAGCGATTGTTTAACTCCAGCGAATGAAGAACGCGAACGTACTCTTCCAGCAAAGAGCTCAGCATACAAAATGACAGCAGCAAAATTTCTCCCACATTCGTCATAAGCGAAAGTCATTCGAATATTTTCTTGAACAGTTACATAATCCATGATGCTGACTACTACTTGACTTGTCTACCACTACTGGAAGCGGAACTGGCGCGTCTCTCCACTAGCAACCTTTTTATACGGTAAAGAGTTGTGTGTGCCGCTTCCCGCGACTTCTACGTATTGGCAGCGCTGCTGACGCGCGACGCCAGCGCCCTTTGCAGCGCCAGCGCAGGCGATTTGAAGCCGCTGGACGTACATGAATACAATTAATCGGATCGTCTCTCTCGATCAAAAAATGTTATAGACCAAACATGTATTTTTTTAGTGTAGAATCTGAATCGGCAATAAAAAGTGGGGGTTCCCATTTAAGATTTCGAAGTTGGCTCCCACCTCACCCTCAAGGGGAGAGCGTGGAAGTTTGATTTGTAGGTCTGGCACATGTCCGCCTTGGAGATATTATTTCTTTTGCTTTTGACATTTTTTGTACTTGCATATTTTTCCAGTTATTTTGATTTGTCAAGTTAATCCTGCATATGAAATACTATTTGTAAATGTGTAAAATGTACCTATTTTTTGTGCAATAATGTTGTAAAATGTTGAACAAAAATAAAATTATTTCCGTGAACTGAATTTATTAAAGCATCATTTTCATGAGAGAACTAGGGCCTCGTCTTAAACAAAAGAATTTTACAACTCTGTAACACTAAAATGGTTAATTTTACAACAATGTCTTATAGGAACTCTTTAATTTTGTGTAGATTATACTTTTTTGTGGAATTGTTATGTATGGAGATAAATACAAAAAATTCGAAAAGCACCTTCAAACAGCCGCCTCGCCCCCGGCTCACCCCTCGCTCTTAAGAATTTTTAGGATGCTTTGCTGTAGGTACCAACAAACAACCATGCCAAGTTTCAAAACTCTGGGAATTTTTTACATTCAATTTCTCTTATTTGATTGGGATAATATAGCAAGTTGACAAAGCAGGAAGTGTGCGTGGATTATACCTTCGTTCGCATGTTCCCGTCTGTCGTTCTCTACGTTGACTCAACGACCTCGCGGCTTTGGGAGTCGATTCTTGAACGGGTTAAGGTTTTTTTTGTAATAAGGTCTGTATTTTACACAAGAATCATATTATGTAAGTTCTATGATACATTTCGTACATCATGAAGATCCCGATATTGTGTAAATAATCATTAAAATCGAATGTAAAATAATTTAAAGGAGATTAATATGAAGATACTAATATTCAATTAAGGCAGTGGCTTTATGAAATATATTCGGAGACCGTAACAGTGCCTTGTGAAGAGCTAATAATTATTTTCGTAATTGAAATTTCATTTTGAATTGGTTAATATCTAAAGGTAATTATTAATAAAAGAGGTACTGCTTTAAAACGACATATTTCTTTTATATACTTCTATTATTGTAAAGTGACCGATTACATGAGATCATTGTTGGACCTTCTGCCTTATAAAATTAATCATTTTAATTAATTCGTAACGTCCTTCTCAACGGGGCTCATGGGCACAGAAATGTGCTTACCACTGTCAAAAATCTTCATTGTATAAGGTAGGTGTGATATATACTCCCTGGGTGTGACATTGACATATGTCACCAGCCACTATAGAAAAATTGAATTGTAAATGCAATGTTGGCAACCATGGATCTGACAAAGGTGACCAACATCTATAAACCCGGGCTGTCAAGGAAGAAGCACGAATGATTATATAATATTTGCATAGTCACATAATACGATCTTGAAGAAACTTGACAGGAGGATGGGTAACGATTTGTTTGAAGGTGCGTGAAGATCATTTTCCCCCTAAAACAAATCGAGGAGGCACATTTATAAATTATCTGTGAAAGACGAATTATTTTATTGGATAGTTAGATGATAACCAATGATAACTTATTAGTAAAGTTTTTGATTCAGCGGAGTGAAAAACAATAAGGTCTACAGAGCAGATATGAAAGAAGTGTTTTACGCCTTTGATAGGCATGAAAAATTAGTGTTAATGATGTATATGATTATGGTGATCGTTACAAATAATTAGGCATACCCGTATTTCATTTATTTTTTTTACTTTTGAACTGTCAATGATCAAAGAAAACAAGTACATGGCAGTGATTTTGTTTTAGAATATTCTATCGTTATAATAAATATGTTTTTTGTAATAGATTACGATAAGATTCGAACCATTACCCTTCGTCTTTGTTATAGAACTTGAGCAACCACACATTCCTACCCAGGAAGGAAGCAACTCAGGTTTCACTCGGCAAATTAACCTGGAATACAAAGAATAGGCGACCAGGTTGTCCTTTAATACTAAGTTATTTTAAGAGTTGTTATTTATCCTGCAATAAAAATTTCGCCTAATTTTCATTTTGCGTCGAAAACTTGCCATATTTGTGGGACCACTTAAATCTTAATCATGAAGAGGGTAAGTATTAATTTATTGCTTATGATTAGCTGAGTATTATGCAGGTAGTAGTAATATTTGTGTACCGGCAGATATATTTCAAAATATCCTGGAAGTATTGGGAATGAATGGGGATGAACAATCTGTAGACGGGTCTGGACCCCCAGATAACGAGGTTGAACCGCCTGAGAACAATTCTAGTCAACCTAATAACGAACATGAACAGCCCGTTAGTGATCCCATACTGCCAGAGAATGAGCCCAGACAGCTTGCAAACGAGCCCGAATTACTTGAAAATGATTGTGGGCCACCAGGAAATAAGCCCCAACCACTTGAAAATGTGCCTGAACCACTTGAAAACAAGCTTCAACCGCCAAACTTCAATAATAAGCCTGAACCACCCATAAATGAGACAGCATCACCTACCCATGCAGTGTATGTATCTTGTGAAGAAAGACTTGAGACATTTTGGTCATGGCCAATTTCGTTGGAGGTTCAACCAGAAAATCTATATAAAGCAGGATTCTTTTACACTGGTAAGTTTGTAGTTAGATTGAAGTTCCCTTCATCCACTGACAGGTGTTCATAAAACCTATTACCTAGATAATAATATTATAATGATATGATTGGATTGGGTAGTATTAAATGTACAATTATTCTGTTTTATTGCTGTATGGTATTATAGGGTATGTCGATGTTTATAAAATACAAATTATTATTATTGTTGTTGTAGTTGTTGTTTTTTGACATGTTATGTATAACAAGAATAAAAGTGGAAATCTTCATTACTGTGATTTGAAGTATCTTGTCAGATAAGTATATAACAGTAATTTTCATTTATGCCATCTTTGAATAATGTATTACCTTCAAAGAGTTTAATCTTCTTTAAGGGAGATGTAGTCATGTTTGAGTCTATTGGGTTTGTGTATTTAAGTTGTAAAATGATGTAGAGCTGCCGAATACAAATTGTCAACTAAAATCCTTGTCAGTGTTTCCTGTCCCCTTCCTCAAAATAAATGTTGGTGATAAAAATCAATGTTATTTTGCAAGATCATTAAAACATGCTCATAATTAGGTGAACGCCAAGTGTAGTTTGTCAAATAATGACCCCAATTCCACTCCAACCTTTGTCCATGTGCTTATATACTGAGTAGGTACTTAAACTTTCAAATAAAACTGTTGAATTGTAATCTTTTGTCTAATATTGAAGAAATTTATGTTGCACTGTGGCAAGACCCTGACCTTTCTATCTTAATGTGTAGATCTACCCCTAGCCCTTTATTTTTATTACATGACAATTTTTTAAAATTAAGGTGTTCATTTCTCTGTGTATATGATCTGTTGAAAATAGATTAAATTTACTTTCCATATTTGCTTGTAGGAAAAAGTGGTAGAAATGTGCAGCTGGGTGAATTCCGATGATCCTTGGTGTGAGCATGCTAAATGGGCCCGAAGTGCCCATATCTTCTCCAGGAAAAAGGCAAAGATTTTGTGGAAAATGTATTAAGGAATCGGAAAACTCCAAAAGCTTCCAAGGTGTGTTATTTGTAAAATATTTTTGTAATTTAGACCATTATTTTAAATAAAAATGGAAAAATAGTAATTTTTAGTATTAATAAATTCTTTCTTTCAGGACTTGAAATATGTTAAAGCCCTTGCAGAACGAAAAAAATGTATGAAATTGATAATGCTATTCTATTTACATCAAGGTTTGTAGAATAATTAGGCAACTTTTATAATTTATTAAATCATTTATTATTATTTCTTTTATTTCATGTACAACTAAATGAAATTGACTTTTATTATGTGATAAAGATGTTTGTGGAAATGAAATTAAACAATTACACTTTTCTTCTGTCACTTTCTCCTTAATTCAAATCTATTACTATAATTTATTGATATGACACTCTCGTACAACTTTTTGTTTTAATTGATCTGATCTGTGTATTACGTATATGAGATATTTCCAGTAGTAATACATCTTTATTCTCTAAAACATATTTGAAGATTTAAAGCAATGTGTATTGCTCCATGATGGGGAATGAATGCAGGTTGATGAATGTTATTGATTTTCAAATGCTGAGGCTTGACTGATGTGAATTTATTTTTTGAACAATTTTTAAATTCCCTTCTGTGGGCTTTCAAAATACTTTTTAATTTTTTTTTCCATAATACCAAGAACAAGTGTATATAATGCATATAATCTTCGTTATTTATAAAGTGGAGTAATCATTAGAGTAATTGTGTGGCTATATCGAAAAATGAGGAAATTACTTCACATTATTTTGAGAAAATGTTTTAATTTTGCAAAATATGATTGGACACTTAATGACCAACTTTTTCACAGCTTAGTGAACTTAAATGTAATCAACTATCCATAATAATGCATAATGAAGTTCAATTTTTCCTTGTATTAGAAAATCACTTGCTTGCTTTTTCCTAAAATTTACTTCAGATATTTTTTCATGTTTTTTAATAGATTATTTTCTTAATATAATTTCTTTTTGTTTGTTTATTATGCACTCCATTTTTCAGCATACTTAAAAACCATCCAATATTGGTAGTTTATGGATGAGTTGTCCAATTCCATAACTACCTTTTTTGTAATTTTAGGGGAAGGTCTGTAAACTGTGGTGAGTTATGGGTACAGATTTAGATGAAAACAATTAACCTAAACATTTCAAAATATGACTAGTTTTCGTTGTATGATTTTGACACACTGTAAGTGAAGTTTTCTTTTTTGTAGCAATAGAAAATAAATTGGGCTTGCAGAGTTTTGTTATATTATCTTGGGTTTAAATAGATTTGGAACAGTTACATCAATTCAGTAAATGGTTTCTATGAGATCATAAAATTTATTGATGTTTTGTAGTTATGAAATATATCATTGTAATATTAGAAATCTTCATGCCTGAAATCAATACCAGGCGACAAATTGTTCCAAGCTTCTCAAAAATACTTGATAATATTATTGCTTCTTGCCTGCAAATCTGGCTTTCTATATATCCCAGAACTTGGTCAGGGAGAATGTGGGACTGGGTGGGAATATGGAAGTAGATCATAACTCATTTAATATTGAGTGGAGCTTTATTGGTAAGCTAATAAACAAGCATTATTGAGGTTTGGTATTCTCCTTCACAACTGTCAGCAAACAATTTTCCGGGTGAAAATGATGAAGGAAATCAGTGTTTCACAATCTCATTATCTCATTATGAACCTTCTTTCTTTCAGTTTTCATTCACGTGAGTGTAGGTTAGTATTTTCAGAAGATTGTGGATCATGCGACAAGTGTTCACATATAGCAAAGTTTCACCCACACAAAACTGTCTCTTATTGTAAGCTTATAGTTTTCTTTCTCTTTATCCTCCTCTTCATTCTCAGGTGAAATAAATAAAACATACATTTATTGAAATTCACAGAAATATAAAAAGATAAACGGTTATGTATTATTATTTTTTCTTTTTGTTATTCTTTCTTGAGACTCATGTGCATGTGCCATGGTGCCACTGCATGCAGCATGCTGAAAAGGCTTGAAACTTTTTAAACATTTGTTACAGGTCAGCTAATGGATCAGCAGCTGATTCTCGGGCAGATGTATCTAAAGGGGCAGTTAAGAAAACTGGCTATTGTGTTGGATCTAAAGATGATGCAGGTAAAGGAAGTAAGGTTAAGGCATTGAAAGGGTCTCTTTCAGAATCTGCGAGTCCTGATAAAGGTAGTGATACACTCGAGAGTTCTGTAAGCCGCATGGAAAATCAAACTGCTTATAAGTTAGATGATGTCTCTATTTCCGATAACCGTTTATGCAAAATATGTTGGCAGGAGCAATTAAGTGAAGCATTTTTGCCTTGTGGTCACTTAATTGCATGTGTGAAGTGTGCAACATCTCTTGAGAAATGTGCTGTGTGCTGTCAACATTTTATAGCTACTGTACGTAAATACCTTCCTTGAAATGATTCAGTTTTGCTAAGAGCTCTGGCCCTTTATTTTTAAGAGTGAAAGAAGAAGAAAAAATGTGTTTTACAAGCCAAGATGAAAGGTAGTTAAATTTACCTGAAGTGTAGTTTAAGTATTAAGTAAAGTTGTTTGTTTTGGGGGAGTAGTTTATTACACATTAATTCACTATACTTATCCTTAATACTGCTGATGCTACTATTACTGTTTAAAGAATGGGAAGACGATTAAGAAATCACTATACAATTTGAGCATGTATTATTCTTTCTCTCTCTAAAATATCAAATTTACAAAGTACAAGTACTGTATACAAGGGTTTCTCTGTCTCAATTGAATCGTTTCTTTCAGAAACCTGTCAAACGCCAAATTCCTCATATCGAGAAAACTGAGAAAAAGTCTCCATTTTCATCTGATTTCTAAATATTTTTATTTTAAAGCAGTTGATAAATGAATATTTTTCATAAAAATATGCACTAAACACTGTGTCTATCTTCTTGGAACAATAATCTGCCGCTAATGCGTGTTTTAGATTTTGGTGTTTGACAGGTTTCTGAATTAAACAATTCAATTGTGAATTACTTTGTCTTAATCTTAATTGTAATTACCAGAACTACATTTAAAGTAGATTAGCTTCACTAGTGATGAGGCTTGTGGAGTTGCCAGTTCTATACTATCATGAAGCAATCATCATGTAGCATATAATGACCAATATTTTTTTTCAATTTGGATAAAATAATATTTCAAGGCCAAAGTAACATTTTTTGTACAGCAGTCAAGTATTGATGTCACAAAATGGTTATTTTAATTATCATTTGTAAAATTATCAAGTAGGATAATTAACAATTTACCAAAGATATTAAAAAATTATGAAGTTTTTTACCTTTATACTGTGAAAACAATGTTTTTTATGCCATTTAATTTGTTAAAAATGTTTTTTATCATATTTTAATTCAATTTTGAAAATAGTTGAAGGATTGAAATGTAACAAAAGGGATTTTTGATAATCAGTTATATACAATTGCAATCTCAACATTATTGTTATTTTGCAGTATCAGAATAACTTTTGTGCTATAGAGGTTACAGCATAGAGACCCCAAATTATAAGGGGTTCAAAATTAGCAAGTCTTTGCTTATTGTAAAAGCAAAATGCAAAAATAAGCAATATCTTATGTTTGTGGTAGTTTTCTTGTCACAGGAACTTCAAATCATATTTTTGCTAGCTACTTTGAGCTGTTTATATGTATAGAGTCTGCATTACTTGTCTTATTCCTCTTCAAAAGGGTTGCCCTAAGTTGAGAAGAAAAAATATGGACATACTCGGAGGATTTATTTTCAGAGGCTGATATTTGAATTGAATTGAATTGAATTTATCCCTTATTTTACGTGGTGAGACTCAGGCCATGAGGCCTGCTCTTCCGTCTGACCACGCAAATTTTGCTATAACTCCTTTCACCAACTAGCGGAGAAAGGGGGTATTTCTTGGGCGAGAAACAGGGGATTTTGAATTTAGCTCAGAGGCGTCATTTAGGCTTGAGGATCTTTCACATGCAAGTAAATCTACTAACATGGGAGAGCCGGCGTCTTCGATCGGGTTTGAACCCGTCAACTTGGGTACAACAGCCCGATACACTAACCGTTACACCATCACTATTTGCAGTATGTTAATTTAGTGGTGATATTCCTGTTATTGTTGTTGTTGTTCATCTTCTTCATCTTCTTCTTCTTCACCTTCTTCTTCACCTTCTTCTTCTTCAGCTTCTTCTTCAGCTTCTTCTTCTTCACCTTCTTCTTCTTCACCTTCTTCTTCTTCACCTTCTTCTTCGTCACATTCTTCTTCTTCACCTTCTTCTTCATCTTCTTCTTCTTCACCTTCTTCTTCATCTTCTTCTTCACCTTCTTCTTCTTCTTCTTCTTCACCTTCTTCTTCTTCACCTTCTTCTTCTTCACCTTCTTCTTCTTCTTCTTCACCTTCTTCTTCGTCACATTCTTCTTCTTCACCTTCTTCATCTTCTTCATCTTCTTATTTATTATTACACTTGGAGAATAATTTCTGTTAAATTTACTTTAACTAGTAGTAGACTGTTTACTTTTTGTTCTGTCAGTCAATTTGTGTGTGTAGTCCATGTATTGTTTGTCAGCGAAAACATTTTCTCAAGAGGATCTTATGTTCTTGGGAAACGACAAATAAATCCTATTAATTTTTCCAACTTTTTACAGTTGGAGTGAACTACATTTGGTTTCTGAAAAATATCCTCCTGTAGGTTATCTGACAAATCGCCTTTTCTTATTTAACAAAATGTTGACTCTTGCATACTTAACAATTTATCTCAATATAACCAAATTCTCTCCCCATGCCTTTCCCAAGAAAATTAACATATTCTTCAAATTTTTTCTATATCTGACCCAGATAAGTTTTTACAACTTGCTTTGTTAGGAGGAAACCAACGGAAGTTATCTGTGCCTGAAATAATTTCCCATCAATATAAATAAGGTAAAAATGAATTTCTTATTTAGAATTATCAGCATTTTCTATGCTCAGTGGAACATAAAATGCCAATACTTGTTTTTCACATTTTTTTCAGCTTAATTTTTCCCTTGTGTACTAGTTTACCCTGTTTTTCCATAGCTATTTGAGGAATGAAATGTATGCAATTTTCTATTTTCTAATTTTTGTTTTAAAATCACTTAAGTTAATGAACACATCTGTGACAGTTAATTCTTCAAGGAAGGTTTGAGCCTTGCCACAAATAAAAACAATATTAATGTTTTGCTTTTATTATTATTATTATTATTATTATTATTATTATTATTATTATTATTATTATTATTATTGTAGATAAACAGTAAGCTTCATGTAGGTTGGACCAAATAGAATCAATCTTAGGTAAATATTAATAACAAAACTTCTATATCAATTGGAAGTTGATCCGTTGTACACAGATAAGAACTATATGAACAGTATAACCAGTCCCCAGCAAGTTTTTTCATAACATGTCTTGTATGTTTGTGAAGACATTCATTTTACTGTGTTCTTTTAACTCTACCAGTGTAAGTATTTGTAATGCCAGCATAAGAACAACCAATCTTTGATATCATGCCGCCTTTTGCTAAAACACTTAACACCCATTCTGAGAGTATGATGGCAGTTTCTCTAATAACTTCCCAAAGTCTATTCCTGTTTCTGGATCAAAGTATCTCACCATAAGAGGAACTAATATTGTGTCAAGACTGTTTGAAATGCCCACAGATGTACTGAGAAGTTGCTTATTCAAGTTGATTTCACCTGTCCAAAATTGTGAAAGGAATGACATTAATCACAAAATATGTGTATAATTGTAAATGCAAATTGAAGTGGCAGATGTCTGATATATCAACATTCTTTTCTTATTTAACAGTTTGTATTGAATTGCATATAAATGTATTAATCTTGTATGTAAATAACAATTTCAAATAAATTATAATGGAAAATAATTATCTTTCATTAATAAAAAATAAGCATCATCGTCATCATCATCATCATCATCATCAATCCCTGATCTATTGTCATGATCCATTGTCATGTATTTATATATTTTCAGTTGTCAACGAAACCAAAGGTCGATTTACAGTAACAGTAAAATAAGTTTCTTTAAAATTAGACAGTCAATACAACAAAACCCTTCTAACACATTTTAAGAGTCCATGAAAAAGTGTTGTAAATGGTGGAAAATTACTTTTCCTCATACAGTAACAGAAATTCTTTTTTATTAACCCATTACCTGCCAAATTTTATTTTTTGATTTAAATGAGGTAATTTGGTTTTATTTATGTAGCAATGAAACTAATTTACTCCCTTTTTGAAATACAATAAATTTTTATTGAAAAAAGTACACTTTTAGGAGAAATCCCCAATTGGGGATCACAACAGTTCACGACTATAACACTCCATACGTAGTCGTACATCACATTTTACGCATTGTTTGCGCACATTCTTTTTGTAAACGCCAAATTTTCTTTGTTTGCCTCCATTTGTCCTCTCAAGAAGGTGCCCATTATTTGAATGTCTAATTCCCCTTCGTATGTAACTGGTAGATGTGGCCCTCTGTTGGAAGGTCTTCCTGTGGCTTTCGGATCAGATAATTCTGATGAGTGTGCCAAATTTGCTGTAGCAACAGCTCTTCAGAAAGATAGAAGGGGATTTTTACCATTGGCCATGCAATAAACCCTGAAGAGCCCAGGAACATTGCAACCTCGATTCCTTGAGATCAATGTCATCTTTGTCTGAGACATCATCTACTCTATTAGGAGGAAGTTCTACGATATCAATAACATCATCTTCATTTTTTAATTGTCATGAAATTCATCTGATTGAAGTATATCTTCTATTTCCTGTAAACTCTGATACTTATAATCGCCCATATCTAATTGAAATCACAAACGGAAAAATACCGAAATTGTAATGTCTAAAAATATTGTGATTCCCAAATGGGGATCATATTTAAAATATTCTTCTGATCGAATTTACTTCTAAATTATAACAAAACATTTTTCAACCTTCTGTAGAGACCTAAGGCAACAAAATACTGATAAATCTTAAGTATCAAACGATTACAAATGATTATTATAAAAATTTTAAATTCTTGATCAATCCTGACCTCACTTTGTCATGCACTACTTTCACATTAGTTGAAAAAAACTTGCTTGAAATGAGATAATCAGGCGTTAACCTGTGCACATATATGAAGGAACATCTAACGCACAATT